TTGCCTAAAGAAATGGCTAGAATCTTAAAAAGTCTGAAACCTGATTGTGAGAGACTCACTTTATGGGCTGCTAAGAAGGTGCTGACCTTCGTCATCAATAGATTGTCTGAGCCTTTGTGGTATTCAGCAGTAAAGGAAGTGCTTAAAAAGTCATCCTGCTGAAAGATGGACTCGAAAAATCTCCAGTTCAGATCTCAGCATAGCTGTTGTCAGTGCACATGCTCATTCAGAAAGTCTGTCTGTAAATCTAATACAGATAAATCTTGCTTCATTTTTAAGTGATAAAACTGGAGCATCCTCACCTTAGAGATGGATCAGGATATCTGAAATTCAATATAAGTGAAATTATTATAGAGGAGGGCAGCTAATGACCTATCTGTTGTGGGGCTTTGGATGTGTTTTGTTATAGTACTATATTTCTCTGTCTGTACTAGAGGACATTGAAGAAGTGGGATAACACTTGTACAAGTACCAGTGGTATCATTTTCTTACACTTTGCTCCATAGTTTTGGATGCAATTTTGCCTGTTCCAACATTTGCACTGAAATGAACTGTAGCAGATGACTGCCCTGTGATTTCAAATGGCCTTCTGGGAGAAAAAGATTATTATAGATGAAAGAGTTCAGTTTCTATAACTTTCTGGAAAAGTTCCATCACTGTCTAAGTAGTATATTAATATGGCAGTTGTCATTATATGTCGGGTGAGTTAGCCTGGGTGGGGTGTCAGGCTAATACAACTATACGGTTGCCGGTACACAAGTGAGCTCAGCAAAAGGCAGATGGGGTATCCTTGCACAAAACGCACATGTCTTGCAGATACAGTCATGCTCTGGCTGGAAAATGTGATGTTATCCTCTAGAAACTGTGCAGCATTGAACATTCACAGCAGAGAGCACAAAATACAGATGGACCACTAATGACTAGAGCTTCTGGGACAGCAGATGAGGTACAGCCAGACCATCCTGAACGAGGCAGCTTGTACCTTATGCTGCAGAGGAAGTGAAAATAAAACAAAACAGTGACAACAGAAATTGCTGCCAGTTCTGATCGGAATGGGGGGAGGGAAAATTATTGCTGTCTCCAGATCTGATGTCTAATTTGCCTCTGAATTTTATCAAGGCATTTATGGGGCGTGTTCAGTGTCAGATCATGGGTCCGCTTGAACTGCTGTTGAATAGTCAGTGTAAGGAACCTGCTTCAGAGAAAGAAAAGTCCCTTTTCTGCTTTCTAGCTGCTGTATTGTCCCCCTAGACCTCCGAGCCACGCAAGGGCATGATCTAGCAGGCCAGCAGTGGGGAGTCAGTAAGCTGGACCACTGCTTGTTCCTCACCTGAAGCTGTGCTGTGCCATAGCTAGGACACCGTAAACTTAGTCTTTGGAGATCTCTCTGGGCTGAAATCTCCCCTTGAATTTGCTTCTTCCTGCATAGCCTCTGCCATGAAAAGCAACTGTGATCCTCAGAAATAATGACTTGTGCTGTCCACTGAAAGATTTTGCTGAATTTTTTATCTTTTTCTGAAGTGTAGCCCCACAGAATTCACAGTTGCCCCAAAGAGCTGGTAACAGCAATATAATGGTCCAGTTTCCAAGCAGCTTAATCCCCTCTGAGAACTACTAGAAGAAATTTCTCTCTCCTGTCCCTCCACTTAAATCAATGCTGAATGTAGCCCAGTGGTTTGGCCTTGCTATATGCAGATTCAGGAAGATAGCAGCGCAGCCTTTGGTGTTTAGAAAGGTTTTACTTCATAACTGTAAGGGCAAAAGCTTTTTTGTTTGAAATCAAAGTTTAAATTCTCAAGAAAAAAGGGCTCATCGAAGAACTAGAAAAGAACTTAACAATGAGGTGTCAGCTGAAATGCCAGTGTGATTTATCAGCAGGTTCTTCTCTAATCTGATGTGAGATAATAGGAGAAGGTGTTGAAAGCAGAATCAAACTAGATACAGAACAAAAAGCATAAGCAATAGGGTTCATAAGATTAAGCACATAAGGAAGTTTACACTATCTAATAGGCAGGCCACTCTCCCAAAGAAGACTTTCTCAGATATATTGGGAAATCAACAGACAAACCCAGAAGATTTTAAACGCTCTTATGTTCCTTTTGCTTTTTTTTTTTTTTTTTTTTTTTTTTTTATCCCATGTAAGCCTCTCCAGTTGAAGAGACTGACAACATACTTATCTGGAGTAGCTGATAGTGCCATGGACAGGCATCTAGCGAAGATTAACCCTCAAATATACAGAAAGCTGAGCTTGTTTAGGACTGATCAGGAAGATCATTCCTGAGATCTCAGAATTCTGGTTTCCTTCTGACTATAGCGCTAAATTGTCTGTCTATATTCCCCTGCATAGTGATTCATTAGAAGCATTTTACAGTAAATGCTTCCAAAATAAAAAACAGACATTTTAACCAAAGTCTCAGAAAAATACTTAACTTACAAAGATAATGATTTTCTAAAAGCTTTTCCCTGGAAATGGTTTTTTATTGAGGCAGTGATTAAAGTGAGCCTGCCTGAGTTATAACATGCTTCCATGGCACAACCCAAAGTCATGTTAATCAGCTTGAATACCTAAAAACACAATACAATAGGAGCAGTATAAATCCACTTGATACAGCAAAGTTCATTTCAGGTGCTGGTCCACCAGCGAAATGTCTGTAAGTGATTAAAAAGTCTTGGTCTGTATTTCACAGTTTGTGCTCTAGGTTTTTTTAGTCCATAGTAATTTTAGAATTCTTAAGACAGTCTCACAACAAACGGTTTAGTTCAGCCAATTTCCCATTCACACTGATATCAACCACCCCAATCAGATATATGGCTTTGCCTTTCTTAGCTCTCTGGTGAGGAGAAGAGTCCACTAATTCTCCTTGAGGGCTCCTCAGTTCTATATGGCTGCTCAGAGGAAAATTCCTGCAAACTTGGATGTGATGTAGACAGTTAAATCTCAAATTCTTGAGTTCTATAGGACCTTCTGTGAACAGCCCACCCAAGGGGCTGTGAAAGTCCTGTGGTCCCCCTCCAGAACATGGTATAGCCATATACTGCAGGACCACATGGAGCTCCATCGCAGGTGCCATATGTGACTGTTCTGTTGGCATGACATGGCACCAAGATCATCATGCTCATCCCCTCAGCTGATGCTGAGGCTGGCTGGAGTATCTCTGCTCCACTGCATAGTGAAGATAAATCATCATTTCCTAAATTACCTAGTACTGAAGCCAGCACTGAAAAATGTGGCTTCCAATCTTTAGGCTATGCTGTGGTTTGTTTTAAAAAGGGATTGAATGTCTTACAAACAGGTAAAATTGCTGCCAGATGCAAGTACATTAGCCTTTTCCAGCTGCTTTACTGCTGCCATTCAAAATAGCTTGCTATAAATATGATTCCTTTGAGCTCTATTCTGACAAGTGCGGAGCACTATCTGGGAAGGGCCAGTCGTTTTCCATCCCCATTGAACTCAGTAGGAGTTGTGATTGCTCAGCACACTGCTGAAAAAAGTCTGCTGAAATTACCTTAAATCACACAATTATCCCCTCACCTCTCACTCCTTCTCTTGCAGTCATGGAAAGAGGAATGAGCTTCTCCACAGGCAGTTCTGCTACAGTAAAGTTTTCAGCCTGGAGATTGTGAGCAAATGTCAAAATCAAGAAGTTCCCTGCTTCAGGGCTGGTGACTGTTCTGGCTGCAATCTGGCTTAGCCAGGGAAGGGGGAAATACGTGATAAAGTTCTGAAAACCTATTTACACTAAAATTCAGTATCAACTTCTCACGCAGCCTAAAACACCTTCGCCTCTTCCCTTTACCCCGTTCTATAAATTTCTGCCCATTGCCCTAAGGGGTAAAGGTTCACCATTCCACAGCATCCAGCACACATTCTGGCAAGTTTTACCAGTGCGTTAGTGCATACTGTAGGGCCCTTGCTAAAACTCAAGAAGTTGCTTATTGTTTAAATTCTGTTTCTGGCTGAACACAAATGCATTTATTATGTGTCTTTCCTTTATACAATCTGTTTCTGTAGATAAGTACGTTAAACCGGTGCTAAACGTATGGAGGTCTGTTGAACAATAACACAAGGTTAAAGGCTGAGTGCTTATGCTTAACAAACCATTCTGAAAGACGATCATCATTAAAGCTGTTTACAATTAAACTTTTCATAATTGATGGGAAAACCTGAGAAGATAATTACCTGTGCCTTCCACCTTTTCACTCTGAAATCAGCAGAGGCAGATGAAAATTTCCTTTGAATCTGAGCCCAGTTACGAGTCTACAATGCAGATCAAGTCGTCACCTTTCCTATTGTATAGGAACTGGTGCTGAGAAGGGCCTTAAAGAACTTGATTCTGCACCTTGTACCAGTCTGAATCCAGTACTGGTTCCCTGAACTGAGAATTAAGCTGTTAACTACTAGGGGAGGGTTACTTCTTAGCATCCACACTCCAGTGTACTTTGCAGACAGTTCAATAAGAAATGGCTTTGAAACCCAAATCCAGATCTGAATTTTGCTCAAATGCAGCTGAAGCCGGGACCCCACTTTGAGCTTGTGCCCTTTTGGAATACATCCACTCTGCCTGATTTTTGAACACCCCTCTCTGACCTCAGTCACTGTGCTTACCAGCTATCAAAAAATCAGGCCGCACTGATTTTTTTTCACCCCATAACAACATACAACGTGAATCAATCAGTCACAGGGTTTTCACTGGTTTTCTTTTGATTAAAAGCCAGATTTTCCCTTCATACTGGAGCTATAACAAACTGGTACAGTGGCATCACTTTACACAAACAAACATCCGTTATCAAGAGTTATTAAAAATATTTTAAGTGGCCTTAAACTTTTACACAGGAAAGAGAAAATAATCTCGCAGCTAGTCTGATATTCTGTGTACTAACTATTGAAGAGTTTTGTCTCATAATGGTGCCTACAGTATGCCTAGTGGAGAAATGATTTGCATGCTTTTTTTGGTTTTGCAACATTTGAGTATTATTAATTTTTCTACATTTTCTCCTAGGACTCTTTCTTTGCTCAAGTTACAGCATCAGAAAAGCAACACCGACTTCCAAAAAAAAAAAAATCTCATAAACATGTATGGCAGGAATGAAATCTTTCAGCAAATGCGTAGTATTAAGCAGTCAAATGTGGCAGCAAACAGATTGAATTATGTTCCAGAAGCACTGCAAATGTACAGAATCCACCTCGGGAGCAGAGCAGCAGCAAATACCATGGAGAGAATCAAAATGGCAGAGAGAAAGGATGAAAAAAATAATAATGATATAGACAGAGCAAGCCATAAACAGAAATCAGAAAACCGTGAAAAACCAGCCGAGAAAAGATTAAAAACAACGTTAGAGAATGGCAATCAGTCAAACCCAACGCCTCTGTCCCATATACCTCTGCAAAGACTAATGGACATAGAAATGGAGTTGGTCTACACTGATGAGGAGGATATTTCCTTCGAGTTTGCTGAGCCTATGGTATCTATAAGCACACGATCGGTGCAGGGAGACTCTGAAAAAGCAGCTGCTCAGAGCACAGCTAATGGACGCGCTTTGCCTCACATTGACAAAGAGCTTCAGATGACCCTCCAGAAAGCCAGCACTTGCTACAAGGAGAACAACCACCTAGCAGCTGTGGAGCAGTTCTCCATGGCACTGCAGGTATGTGGTTAAAGAAGTACGATCACCATAGCAGAGTAAATGAAAGGTTGTCATTGTACTGACTGGATGTAATAATATCAAAGTGAACAAGGAGCACAAGCCTGGGGTGTGCATGGTTTAATAAAAACCCTGAGATGCAATTTCACATGAAATCTGAAAATTAAGAGCTATAAATAAATCATAGGAGAAGGGTGGCACTGACCTGAACAAAAAAAAAACCTCAGGTAATTTTGTATTTTTCTCTAAGTCTTCAACTGTGTTTACGTATGGAAGAAATTTAAGTCCCACAGAGTGAAAAAAAAAACACACCTCTCTATTCCCAGCCCTATCAGGAACAAATGATACCTCAATAATTAGGGAAGTTCCCACTGTACCCCAGCTGCCCATAAATATTGGTGAAATATTTAATCCTTTCATTAAAACAAAAGGTCTATTTTAGTCTTTTTTCCCTACAGCACTTCCAATATGCACTCTGTTTCCCATTTTTCTCTAAAGCCAGATCTGTGTAGAAATCCTTTTCTTTTTGCATGAGAAAGGCTAGGTCCAGTAGCGAGCAACCCCCTCTGGACACAGATGGCTTTCTCTTTGGCAGCTAAGAGTCCAAAAGCTCAGTTTTTGTGGAAAGACTTCTTGTCTGCCTGAGACACTAAAGAAATAATATGACCTCGACTGTGATCTTTGAAACTAATCTGTGATTTTCATGACTTTCTGCCTTTAAGTGCTCAAACTTGAGCTGTCTTAAACAGATCTGTTCTTCAATAAGTAATAGTTATTTCTGTGTTTTCAAAAGCAGAGCCTTTTCCAGTTTCAGGCTGAGTCTCCCCAAAAGGAGGTATCTAAAAAGACCTTTGACGTTTTTGAAATCTTAGCCAGCCTTGAGTTTTATCGGTATAATATGAAAAGAAAAAGAGTAAAAGAGGGAGTTTCTAACACTCTGGCAAGGTTGCAATTAATTTCACGGTGGGGAGGGAAGAGAAAGGAGGCTTAGGAAACCCCAGCAGGTAGGTCACGGTTACATCCACCAGCCTCCTGCTTCCTGGAAGCCAGAGCTAGCAGCATTTACAGTAAAACTGATTGTTCAAAGTTGTATCATTATTCCCAGATTTCTCTAGTGCTGCTAATCTCAGTTAATTATATTGGAAATCCCTTGTATTATGACCATGTAATTCATAATGTGCCAGTAGAAGTCATGGTTCATAATAATCACATAATGGGCAAGGACTTAGACGTAATCAGATTTTAGTTACCCTGTCGTGTTTCCATAATGCTGCTATAAAACCGACATAATCACAAAAAAGCACCAGTTATTTAAACATTTTTATCAGATTGATGTACAGTATCTTTCTCTCTCTTTTTTAAACAATATAAGATAACAAAAATTGGATTACAATTGCTGGGAACAGACTATGATAAACTGTTTGCTTGTGTGCAGAATGAAATTTAATAATGGCATCAGCCTCTCAATTTTTAGTGATGTTAAACCTGTTAAATAGTAGCACTCTACAGGCAAAGGCTTCTTTCAAAGATGCAGCATTAGAGCATTTTGCAAACGGTATCTCCAAGAGCATAGTTGAAAGATGCCCTATATCCTCACAATTAACCCAGCAGCTAACATTTACTGTGCAGATGAGGGCTTGACTTTTTCTATCGTACGTGATGCAAAAAATCATTCTTAGTAGCTGTAAGGATTTTATAAAGGCTCGTGTCTGCTTCTCAAAATTTTAAGAAAGAGACACACTTCCTATTTTACAGGAATATGGTTGGTGATTAGAATAGAGGACTTGCAAGCTGGTCTTTCTGGACTCTAATGTTTTATCTCCACTTTGACCCCAATCACTTCAGCTCTGCACTTGACATCCTGAAAAAGGGTGCAACTACACTTGTTTCAGCGATGTACTGCCAAACTTAATTCAAAAGCATTTGTAAAACATAAGAGGTTTGCAGCTGACAAGCAAATGTCCTCTTCATATTTTTTTCTACAATACCGAAGGCATTTTATTTTAAAACAAAAAATATTATAGCAGTGAGTGAGTAAAATTTGAAAGTGTCATCCTTTTTAGAATTTCCCCCTCACATGCACACATTCAGAAATGAGCTTTGATGGGAACAAAAACAGTTGTCACTTGAGAGGAAAGGAGCATTTTTCTGCTCCTAAGAGGAAATGGAAAGGCTAGGTAATAGACATCCTGGTGAAAGAATAAACAGAGATTAAATAATTCCTTCCTGGGATTGTGGGCAGAGTGATTGGGAAATCACCAAACTGTAGGACATGGGCTTTCAGCAGTCTCTTAATCCAGCTCACTGCAGAAGCAAAAACCAGAATATCCCTGAAGCTCACCTCTGTACTCCATTTCCAAAAATCTCCAGTAAGAGGGACTTCTCATCTGTATTAGCTGGCTGATAGAAAGTTTTTCCACATCTTCCATGCTGCAAAATTGCACATGAACTCTTATTTGACATGAAGATCAATTAACCACCCTATTCTCTTTGTACTTGCAACCTCTTAGCATATCTCTTTTCAGCCTTCCCTAAACGAAATAAATTCAATCATCTTGGTATTTTCTCCCAGGTCATGTTTTCTAAACCTCTGCATCATTTTTGCTGCTTCCTTCTCATCATCTCCAATTTGTCTGTTTCTTCAGATATAGACAAATTGGAGATGGTGCAGAGAGAACTGGAAAACTTAAACTGCTAATATATTGGAACTGTGGTTGTTTTGTCCATCATTTTTTGAAGAACTACAAAAATTCCTCTGCATTTCATATGTAACAAGCTCAAAGGTCAGGAAATTCAAAGTTATGGATTCTGGTGCAGAATGTTTACAGACATTTTTCAGATTTAAGGAAATCAAAGCTTTAGTCTGACATTACAACATTTTGAGTTGGACACCCTGATCTGGAAAAGCGTGTGCATAGCATTAGATTTGAATAGTATCACTAAAGTTAGTGTCACCTTACATATTGCAAATATCATACACTGCTTGGCTCTTCTCTACATCATGTTGTTTTTCAGATATGCAAATAACAGGCAGTACTGAAAGTCTAGCACTGAAATTACTGGATTGGGGGGGGGGGAGAAAATTATTAGTCAGAAAGGAAAATTGAAATGCTTGTTTAATTTAGAGACTTTTATATGTTGGACAGCATGCTGCTGATTACAGCAGACATCAGGAAGGCAGTGTTATCAGGAGAAGAAATGGTGGCTTCTCACTATTTCTGCACTATTTAGCTACCATTAAATTAATCAGGAGGGACTTAGCGTTAGTCAGCTGCATTATAGTTGGCCTGGGGGAGGAAAAAAAATAATGCTCCCTTGGAGAACTCTCACCATTAGAGCTTAAGAATTAAGTACTTTCTGTTGCTAGTGAGGAAAATAGCTGAAGAAATCGGGGCAAAAGTCTTCGCTCTTATACCTCCTAGCTCAACAATACACTATATTATATATACTATGTTGAGAAACACTGTAAATTTCCCTAAATTTTTGGCATCCATCTGTTGGAATGTAAGGAAATAGGACTTGAACATCTGGACTGGGATATGAAGGGTATGAGAAATCACTCTTTAGCTTAAAATCTCAGTGGAAACCATGTACATATATCTATAAAATCCATAGCCAATTATTAACAGCTTAGCTACAAAATAACATTAAACTTTTATGAGGATCGAAAGATCTTGTCTCAAACTAATCTCCTAGTATCAGAAAGCGTAAAAGACTTCAGAAACATCAGCCTGTTTAAAACCTGCACACATCTAAATTTCAGGCCCTGTTGTTCTGAAAATAATCCTCCCCTGTGATTAAAAAAATAAATGAGAAAGGTTCATGACTGCTGTGCGCAGAAAGAAGCCCACAGTATCTCAGCACACAGCTTTTGGCGTAGGATATCTCAGAGACATGAAATGCATCCCGCGTGTGAGGTGAAGGCCTCGAACAGCATGTGATTAATTCACCAGAGTGCTGTTGTGGTGCCTTCCACAAGCTGGAATATCTCCATTTTCCACAGATGGCTATTACGGGCACCGTTCCTATGGCATGGAGATAAACATTAGTGCCATCTTTTTTTGCGCACCTTGAGGTTTTAGATTAACCTTTCCTGTGGCTCATTGCCTTGTGATTCACTGCTCGCAGAGAAGGCTTTGTCAAGACCATGTGCCCTCTTCCAGGCAACAATATCTGCAAAAAGCAAATATTTTGACAGCGGCTGTGGCAGTGGTGCCTTGTGGACATAGTTACGTACCAATACAGAGTTAGGTAGCATGGTTCAACCAAACCTTCCATCAAAATCATAATATAAGAAGCAAAAAAAATTAGTATTTCCTATATAAATACGTATGTGAAAAGAGGTTCATCTTAAGTAGTCTATCCACTGGTTGAGCACATCAGAAAAGCACAGGCAGCTTGCTTAGAGGCATTGCTGCAAGGGCAGTCCCGGGAGCACCGCGGGATTAGGACCTGTGGACGTGCTCCCTGCTGTGACCATTGGATCAGTGCTCGCTGGTCCAGAAAGACTCGGGCACAGCCACGTTTCTGCCCACCCTTCCTCCCCAGCATTGTCTCTTTTTGCAGGTGGATCATGAGGTCCAAGAAGTGATCAATGTATAACAATATGGAGTCCCTTGCTTTACAGAGCACAGAAACTGGAATTCCTGGTCATTCACTGGAATGAAAGGGGTAGAAAGTGGGACTTTATAGAGTTTTCTCTATCCCCTCTCACCAAGAAGAATTGTGCAAGGACTAGATACAGTTTAACACCCTGAAAGTCCTCAAGGGAGAGCATGTGAACAGCTAAATATTTATTTTTAGCATCAACTTTCTGGAGCTAAAAATCAGACTCATAAATTATCTATCTTTATCATCAGCACATGTAGTCTAGAAACTTCCTGGGAGTACACTAGGTCTTGGACGGAGAACATCAAAGATGATGGTCACTGATCACCCAAAGCCTGCATGTTAGATGCTGACTTTACTCTCTATAAATATTCTTTTAACATCTAATAACAAAG